CTACATTCTACTTTGTTCTCCTCCTCTTGATTCTCCCCTTGCCCACTCTTACAGCCCTAGTTAGATCCCAAATCATGAGGGGTTGGGGTAACAATTACACATAGGTGTAGTCATGCAATCAACAGAGGTAAAATCCTTCCCTCAGGGGAAGCTTCTTCTAGGACAAACTCTCATTCAGCAGGACAACCCACCCAAGAGTGAAATTCCATCAACGGGTATGTTTCTCCTTTCCTTCAACAAACATATAAACTTTCATAATATTAGTCATTTTGCATGATACAGTAAGAGATACATTAAGCTTATAGGATTACTCTCCTGGGGCCATCTCGCTATTAGATCTCAGACTACAGTGCTCAGGCCAGATTAGTCTTTCCTAACTCTAGCGGGGTCCTAATTCACTTGTTACTTTTTTTTTTTTATTTTTAATAGTGAGACATCATGAGGTACAGTTGCAGACTTACACATTTTTGTGCTTGGGTTTCAATTATACAATGATCAAATATCCATCCCTCCACCAGTGCCCATTTCCCACCACCACGGATCTCAGTATCTCTCCCACTCCCCCATCCCCCCCATCCCACCCTGCCTCTGTGGCAGGGCATTCCCTTTTGTTCTCTCTCTCTCTTATTGGGTGTTGTGGTTTGCAAAAGAGGAAATGGGTGACAATCATGTTTAGTCTATAGTCTACTTTCCGCATGCTTCTCCCATCCTGGGAGGATCCTCCCAACACCTTTATTTGGTGTTCCCTTCTCTATCTGAGCTCCCTTTTCCCCTAGCATGTGTGGTTGGCCTCCAAGCCATGGAGTAAAATTCCTGGTACTAATCTCGGCCATTCTTGAGTTGTTACTTTTTGGATCATGACAGCATTTGTCCATGACCATGCTCTTAACTTTTATAGTTAAGTATTGTGTTGCTTTGGCCTTGCCCATTTCGGTGCCAGGGTGGCTCACAGCTTGCCCTGAGCTCATCCAGTCCCTTGTTGGGACCCTGCTTTTGGGGTGCTAGGAAGTAAGGACAACTGAGGCTTAAGTCAAGACAGCAGATGCCCAGTAGTGAATATTATTCGGAGTCAGTTAACTCCCAAGTTACAAAAGCATAATATTAACTGTCTTCCTATGTCTATACAAAAAGGACATTATTCAAAAGTAAGGCTGGAGCAATAGCACAGCGGTAGGGCGTTTGCCTTGCACGCAGCCAACATGGCCGACCCGAGTTCGATTCCTCCGCCCCTCTCGGAGAGCCCAGCAAGCTACCGAGAGTATCTCGCCCGCACGGCAGAGCCTGGCAAGCTCCCCGTGACGTATTTGATATGCCAAACACAGTAACAACTTTTGCAAAAGATACAAGGAAAGGCAGTATTTAACTTACAGTACAAGTTCAGTACTTGTAGGATCTGACCTTACAAGTCTGGATCTGACCTTACAAGTTAACAGAGTCTCATTAGGGGAAAGGGTGATAGACCACTTGGGAAAGCACAGCACAAAGAGGTTACAGATAAGCAAAGGAATGGGAGTGGCTCAGGAGCACTGTGATGGGTGCAACCCAATAAACCTAAGCTCTCTGTAGCAAGGCAGAAAGGACAAAACAATGTTATGCTATATCCAGGAGTACATATTATTTGGAGTCAGTATCTCTCAAACTACAGAAGAATAGCATTAACTGTCTTCCTGTGTCTATACAAAAAGAACGTTGCTCTAAAATAAACTATACAAAGGATATAAAGTAAAGAGAATAGCAATATTTCGCTTACATGTACAAAATCCAGAGCCCTCAGAAGATTTGGCTAACAGGTTACAGGGTCTGATTTGGAGATATAAGTGATTAATAGAAGAAGAGCACAAAGGAGAGGTTAAAGATAAACACAGGATTGGGAGTGCCCAATGGACTTGGATAGCACTGTGGTAGGTGTGATTCAATAAATCTAAGCTCTTGCGGGGGGGTGGGGGGGACGGTAAGGAGGAAGACAAACCAGAGTTACTTCTTAAAATGTTTAGAACTATAATCCAACACCAAGGAATATAAAATAAATTTGTTATATGTCTGCCTGGGGGTTGGAGTGGGAGGGACCCTGGAATATTGTTGGAGGGAAGGGGGACATTGGTCATGGAATTTGTGTTGGAATGCTGTATTCCTGAAACGACTTAATTATGTACCATTTTGTTAATCGCGGTGGCTCAATAAACATTCCTGGAAAACAAAAAGAATGTCATCAGAATTTTAATGAAGATTGCATTGAATCTATACAATGCTTTGGAAAGGATGATCATAGGGGTGTGGATTGTGGGAGTGCGCTCCCCTAGAAGTGCTCATGAAGCCCAGGGGCCATCAGTTTAATGTGAGAATCTGAGTAGTGCAGGGTTTGGGCTTACCCAGGTCACTCTAGTGGTGCATGTTGACTCCAGTCCCTCCAGAATTACACCCAGTGATGCTCAGGGACTGAGCGTGGAACCGGCGTTTCATCCTGTTTGCACTGCAAGGCAAGTGCCTTAACATTTTTATTATCTCTCTGGCCCCTATTTTCTAGAAGATTTTTAGTGGAATCTTTAGGTTTATTTATAGTTACTATCATGCCATCTGTAAATAGAGAATTTAAATTTTCCAATGTAAATGCCCTTGATTTCTTTTCCTGACTGATTATTATGGCAAGGACTTCCAAACTATATTGAGGAAATGTGAATCCTTGCCCTGAGTTAATCTCAGAGGGATAACTTAATTTTTCACTGTTGAGTATGGTGTTGGCTATAGGTTTGCTTTTATACATTACTTATTATCTTGAGTCCTTCTATTCTAATTTTTTATCATGAACACTGAATCTTGTGAAAAACTTATTTGCATTTATTGAGACATAATTTTAATCTTGTTCTTATAGTATTTTACATTAATTGTGTATCGAACCATCCTCGCGTCCCTAGAATGAATCCCACTGATCATGATGTATATGATCCCTGTGTTTGTTTATTTATTTGTTTGTTTATTAGAGGGTGGTTTGGGCCATACCGCCTGGTGTTCATGGGTTACTCCTGGCTCTGTACTAAGGAATTACTCCTGCCAGTGCTCAGGAGCAATATGGAATATCAGGGATCTAGACCGTGTTGCCTGTGTGCAAGGCAAGCAATAAACTGACAAATTTATTCCCAAAATGAGTATATTATTGTACATTTCCAAGAGCAATGAATATTCGTTGTCATAACATATGAACAAGATTAAAATTATTTCTCTACGTCTTCATCAGTATTTATTATCTGTTTTTTTGTTTTTGTTTTTGTTTTTGCTTTTTGGGTCACACCCAGCGATGCACAGAGGTTACTCCTGACTCTGCACTCAGGAATCACCCCTGGCGGTGCTCAGGGGACCATATGGGATGCTGGGAATCGAACCCGGGTTGGCTGCGTGCAAGGCAAACACCCTACCCGCTGTGCTATTGCTCCAGCCCCTATTATCTGTATTTTTATAACCATTGTTCTGATAGATATGAAGTAGAATATATTGATTTGCGTTTCATTAATAAAAATGGTCAGCTTTTAAGAGATGGGAAGAAACTTCAAAGTACACATGTTTAGAAAAGAGAAATATAATCTTCAGAAATCTGTTCTATGAAACCATTGATTTATAAGGTTTACAGTACATTGGTTAATTACACCTTCAGTAAATGATACCTAGTTGGCAACTCACATAAAAACAAAATACTGGTCTGCCTCATGCCTCCACCCCTCTCAGAGAGCCCAGCAAGCTACTGAGAGTATCTCACTTGTACAGTAAAGCCTGGCAAGCTACCCATGACATATATGATATGCCGAACTCAGTAACAACAAGTCTCACAACGGAGACGTTACTGGTCCCACCCGAGCAAATCGATGAACAACAGGAGGACAGTAACAGTGACCTCATGCCATACACAAACATGCACTTCCTATGACTCATAGCTCTCAACGTAAAATGTAAAACAATACTGTGAGTTCACAGAGTATGTGCGGGTAGTTCTCTGAGCTCAGAGGGCAAGCAAAGCTTTTACCCTAAATCCCAGACTAAGTCTCCTCAGGCCAGTTCATTTCCTCCTTCCCCACAGGGGTCCTGTCTCCTAAGTCATAACAGCTTGCATGCATACATTTATGCTTTCTAGACTGTCCCATTTTGATGCCAGCTTTGCTACTTGCCTCGGGTCCTTCCCAGTCCCATAGTGGGACCACCCTTTTGGGATGTTAGGAACTACAGCAACTGAACTCTGAGTCAAGTAATTATGACCAATGGCTAGATACATTTCAGAATCTATCAGCTCCCGAATATTAGGAGCATAGTCTTAATGGTCTTTCTGTTTTTTTACCAAAGAACATTGCTCCATAGTAAAATGTAAAAGGGCTATAGATGAAATAGAAAAACAGGTACGAATACACAGCTCTTCAAATACAAAGTTCAGAGTTACCAGAAAGTTTTGGCAAGTAATCAAAACTGACTTGGGGAACTGTGACAGTAAGAGGTAAAATACAAAGGAAAGGTTAAAGATAAACTTTAACTAAATTAGAGTTGCTAGTAAGAGCACTATAAGCTTCTCTGGGTGGAGGAAAGGGGGCAATTCATTGATGAAGCCTAAAACAGGGTTAATATCCAACAAATAAAGCTTTTAGAAGTATTCTCATTTGAAAGATTTTAAAATAGCAAAAATTGCTCAACATAAAATAAAAAATTGTAATATTTAATTAAATTCTCTATCTCCTTTCCTCTGCTTTGTATTGTGATCTCTTCCTCTCCTTTGTCCTTTTCTTGTTCTGAGAGTCATTCGATAATGTGTTCATTTTGAAAGTCATCAGAATATAAACTTATGATTTCTGTAAGTATGTTATAATCTGGTAAATATTTCAGGTAAATATAACATATATAACAAATATATCTGGTAAATATAACACTTTCCAGAATATAAGTGATAAGTGTATTTTGTGATTTTTAAGTAGCTACACTAAATTAATGTTTATTTTTTTCTATTATTTTTTTTATTCATTTTGAAGATTCTGAAGATTACTCAATGAGAACTTTATATGACCTTTGCTCAGAAGTCCAGACTCTAAAGGTATGACCTCTATAATAATTAAATTTTTATATAATATTGTAAAAACTCAGACAGTACAAAGTTAGAGAAATTATACTGTACTATTTTTTCTTATGAAAGGATGATGTCACTGTCCTTCTTGATAAAGCATGTTTGGAAAGTCAAGAAAGCATTGACTTCATGAAAGCAACAAAACTACTGATGAAAAAAAATTCAATGGATATCATGAAAATAACTGAGTATTTCCAAAAGTATGGATATAATCTACATGCCAAGAAAAATTCAGGTGTGAATAAATTCTATTTTATAACTTCTTGTTTTGTTTTGTTTGGGGGCCACACCCAGCAGTACACAGGATAAATAGCTATAGCCTCTCTCATTCAACCCAGAGTCTCGATATATATCAGCCAGTTCCTCTTTTTTACAAATAAGTCACAGAACTTGTTCATATCTGGGAGGCTTGGGGCCAGTGACAGTAATTCCTATTTTATAGTTTCAAATGATTTATAGTATTCTGGATTCATTCAGTGGTCCTTCGTCTTCTGCAGCCTTAAGAGCTTTACAGTGGGATTTAGCTGGAAGTACTAGATTTGGAATGCATGTTTAGCAAAACCCAGAGGTTCGTAAAAACACCCATAGTTGCCTCCAGGTAGTGGGTGCTCTGCTGCTGACTGGAACTTGTCTTTGTTCTGGCAAAATAGAACAAACTTACCAGTTTCTGATAGTTTAAGTGAAAGATACCATATATTAGGCTATTTTATTTGGCTTTTTTTCCTTAGGGATTTTAGAACCCCCTTCTGCCAGGAAATTTCATGTGCCAATGTTGTTTTTTGTCTTCAAATGTATTTTGGGCCAGAGCAATGGTACAGTGTGTAGGGCATTTACCAGCACGTCACTTAGTTCCCCAACCCCACCAGGAGTGGTCCCTGAGTACAGAGCCAGTAGTAAGCCACGAGCACCTTTGGATGTGGTGTCCGTCCCTCTGCCCCCATTCCCCTGTGCTCAAAATATTTTTGTTGGATGCGTCTGGACTGATACTAGCTGTGAATACTTCATCCGCATATTGGAGTACATGCCCTTATGCAGTTGTGATTCTGGTAAGTCTCTTTTTCTGGCTTCCCTGAGGATGATAGGGGTATTTTTGAATTCTTGAGGCTATCAGACCAACAATATTGCTGTTTTACGTTAGTATCCAAGGCCTCCCTTTTAAAAGCAGTGTTTCTTGGGGTCAGATCTAAGCTAGTGCTATAAAAAGCTCTCCATAGCACAGTTCTGTAAACTGACAGAAATCCCCTGGTAAGGAAGATTTGTAATTTGAACCTTTCTTAATGGGTGCCTTTGAATATTTTTAGTATAAACACTGACAGATATTTCAAAATAGGCTTAGTATGTGAAATTCAGAACAAGAATGTAAACTTACTTTGCAATCTGGTAGGTACTTGCAGATATTGGTTACTGCTGTTACTGACCTGTGAGATTTCACTGAAGGTTTTTTGTTTTGGGGGCCACATTCAGCTTACATCATGCAAGACTTACTTCTGACAGGGCTCAAGGGACTGTATGTGGTGCTGGGGATCAGACCTGGGTCGGCGCATGCAAAGCAAGCACCTTACCTCCTGTCCTAATTTCACTGAAGATCAGGAAAGGAAAGATTAGTTTGTAAATAACATATGATTTGTACAATATTTATTTAAGAGTCTCAGGTGTTACTACATGTAGCATTAGGACAGGCAAAGATAGCATGGGCCAGGAGTATGGGCAAGTTTAGGACTGCAACAATTCAATACTAATCCCTCCACCAGTTTCAATGTCCCTCTGCCAAGTGTTCCCATATTTCCTTCCCCACCCCAACCCTGACTCTACCACTGCCTATCAATTGACAGTCACATTGCAAAGTTCCAGTGGTTGCGATTTAGTTCTCCATGTTTTCAGTTTTAATGACTGTGTTTTGGATATAAGACTATACCATATATCACTGGTTTAGCTGAAGTCCTAATGCCTGTTCACTCTTTACTTCCTATTCTCTTACCCCCCCCCCCCCTTTGATTTCTTTTCTTCTCTGTCTCCTCCCTAAACACTGTCAAGGGTGATCTGCGCATTCCCTTTTTAATATAATACATTTCCTCTTTCAGTATTCTATATTCCACAGATAAGTGAGATTATACTATGTTTGTCTTTCACTCAACATATCTTCCAGTTCCTGCCATGTTGCAGCAAATTGCATGATTTCATCATTCCTTGTAGCTGCATGGTATTTCATTTTATATATATATACCACATCTTCATAATCCACTCGTCTGTCATTGGACGCCTAGGTTGGTTGCATATCTTAGCTATTGTACTGAGTACAGCAATGAATAATGGTATTCATAATGGCCTTTTGGGATTATTTTTTGTCCTGGGAATCGAGGCCCAAAAGTGGGATTGCTGCGTCATATGGCAGTTCAACTCTAAGTTTACTAAGTTTACTGACTCTAAGTCAACTGTAAGTTTCTTTCCATACACTTTTCCACAGGGTTGTACCAGACAACATTCCCACCAACAGTGGATGAGAGTTCTTTTTCACCACTTCCCAACCATAGTTCCTACTATTTTTGATATATGCTATTCTCACTCGTATGAAATGGTATCTCATTGTCAGCTTGATTTGGATTTCTTTGATGATGAGTGATTTTTTCATGTGCCTATTGGCCATCCACCAGTCTTCCTCTAAGAAGTGTCTATTTACTTCCTCTCCCCATTTGTTGATATGGTTTTTAAATTTTTTGTTGTTGTTAGTCTTTGTGAGTATTTTATATATCCTGGACATCAAACCTTTATCTAATGTGTTGAGTGCAAATATTTTTTCTCCTTCAGTTAGCTGTCTCTTAGTTTTAGCCTGTCTTTTTTGCCATGCAAAAGCTCTTTAACTTTATGTAAAGGTAAAGGTAAAGGCCCTCCCGTTGATCGTCGATTTGCTCGAGCGGGCCCAGTAACGTCTCCATTGGAGACTTTGTTGTTACTGTGTCTGGCATATCGAATACTCTCGGTAGCTTGCCGGGCTTTATGTAGTCCCATTTATTTTTTATTTTGTTGCCTTTGCAAGTGATATCAGATCAGGCATTTTTGAGGTCCAAATCTTGAAGTGCTCTGCCTGTATTTTCCTCGGTGTACTTTATAGTTTCTGGTCTGATCTCAAGGTCGTTGATCCACTTTGAATTGACTTATGTGTGAGGTTTAAGATGTGAATTTAGCTTTAGTTTCTTAAAAGTAACTATCCAATTTTTCCAGCACCATTGTCAACCCTTTATCTTCATGTGATTTTAGCTTGAAGATTTCCTTTCTAAATAGCCTGATGTATGCACATTATAAAATAGGACATGTTGAAAATGAATCTGTTATTTCTTTTTTAGAAATTAGAGAAAATTTATTTTGAGGGGCCAGAGAGATATTACTGTGGGTAAGGCACTTGCCTTGCACAGCCAACCCTATTTGATCCTCAGTATTCCATATGGTCTCCTAAGCACCGTCCGGAGTGATCCTTGAATGCAGAGCCAGCAGTAACCCCTGAGCATCGCCAGGTGTGCTACACCCCACCCCATGAAAAAAACAGCAGTATTTTAAGAATTCTTTTGTTTTGGGTTTCACTGTTGGTGCTCAGGAGGCTCAGGGTCTCTTCCCTGTGATGCAGGCCGATGATTCATTGCCAAAGCCTAAGGATGCACCATTGGGTGGCTGCTTCCACCATAGGGGCTGCTTCCAGGTGACCATGCAGTGCAGGGGTTCAAATCCCAGCCTCGCACATGTGAAGCATACTATAAACTCAGTAAACTATTTTCCTCGTCCGCTGTGTGTTTTCAAAGCAGCAAAATTATGAGTTGACAAAACACTTGAAAGGGAAAACCTATATAATAATAATTTTTAAAAATCAAACTAAACCTCCAATTTTAATTTAAAACTTTGGTACACTTCCCATGAGAAGATTGCACTGGCCTTTAGATGTATTTTAAACACTTGGAGAAAAAATATCCTTATCCCACAAATTTCTTAGCTACTAAAAAAGAGGTCAAAATGATCATGTACATTATTATATCCTACAAACAGCCAAAGATTCCCAAATACAAGAAAAGCCTTTGACATAGTGAAGAAATTGGGTGAATAGGCCAAATGTGGCAAGGCATCTCCAGCCACAGTTGGATACAATTTCCCAAGTCCAACAGTTTCAATTTGACAAGCCTGTTCAATGGGGCGGAGCTATAGTATAGTAGTGGATAGGATACTCACCTTGCAAATGTCTGACCCAAGTTCTATCCCTGACATCCCATATAGTCCCCGGGCCCACCAGGAGTGATCCTGGAGTGCAGTCAGGAGTAAATAATCCCTGAGCATTGCTGGCTATGTACAAAAAAAAAGAATTTTTTAAAAAATTAAAAAAAATTTTTTTAATTGAATCACCATGTGATAGAGCATTACAGAGCTGTTCATGATTGGGTTTCAGTCATACAGTGGTATTACCTCTAAACTTCCGATCTTAGTTCCCTAACTTTGAAATTCTGTAATGGTAAAAATCAGTATTTTAATGGCATCCTTTAAATTAAAAGAGTTACATAAAACTTTTCAGAATCTCTACAATATGTGCTTCTTTTCAGTTTAATTTTCAAGTGAATCAGCTTGAAATAGCTCTATTACTGTTGTGTCTTTTTTATTTTTTATTGAATCACTGTGGGAAAGGTTACAAAGCTTTCAGGTTTAGGTCTCAGTCATGCAAATATCAAACACATTTCCCTTTACCAATACTTATTTTTTACCATAAAGAACCCCAATAAACCCCACCCCCCACCCCTCCGAGTCCCTGTGAGGCAGATGAATTCTAGTTAACACTCTATCTGCTTTGATTAGATTCATTGTTTCAATAAAAGATTCACCACTATTATTTAGAGTTTACCCCCCAAATCAGACATGCCGAAAAAGCATTGTGAAGTGATTTGCTTTCTACAGCTGGGTTCAAGAATTAAATGTTGGTTTTGGATTTCTGCTATTTTACCTATTGACCCTGGAAGTATTTCTACTGAAAGTCAGATAGTTAAGAAATTGGTTTCTGTGTTCTGGAGTCGTGGCCATGCTGGAGAGCCGCTTGTGGGGGGCAACTGGTGGCCTCGGTAGGGCGTGAAGGGCGGACCGAAACGCACCCCTTCCCATCAGGTTTTAGTCGCCCCCACACCCCCGGCTCATACCTGCTGTCCACACGGCTCCCATGCAGCCGCCATCTTTCTTTCCAGAGAGGAGAGGGCGAATGGGGCAACACCC